TGCTCAGACCCCTTGGAGGCTTTATTGAACAAACAAGATTTAACAAGGATTTTTTTTTTTTTTTTTAAAGAAAGGCAGATGCTCTCTTACGCACAAAAAAGTTATTTTTCTCCCAACATTTCTGATCACGGGGTTGCATTTTGCCCTCACACACCCAGCAGAGGTGTTGAGCTGATTCCTGCTTGATCCAGAGAATTGCCTCTTCTCCTGGGCACAGGGCCTGGGGACTGCTGGGGCAGGGATGGCTAAGGGACAGAAGTGGGGGACAAGACAGGACCAGCCCATGGGGTGAGCCTGGCGCACTGCAGCACTCGGGGGCTTGGCTGCAGTCGACCCACGTGAGGTGCAAAACCCATTACCCGGGTGCTGTGGGTCCAACTTCAGCTGCCAGCGTGGGGGCATAGATGGGTGCAGGGAGGATGGGGGTGGTGGATGCAGTGAGGGGTACCTGCCCACCTCCCCACCAGCAAGGAGGTGCCCGTGGGCACTCGCTCAGCTGCAGCTGGGGAAGGGTGACTAAAACAACTGACATCTTGGGATAAGTCTGGGTTAGAAAAATGAATTTGTGTCAGCGAAGGCAACTGCAGGCACCACCCAAGTGAACTGCCCTGCACGGCAGGCAGGGGTGAGGGGTGCTGGGGGGAACAGGAGGACACAGAATGAGCAGGAGCAAAGGACTCAGAGGATCAACCATGGCCCAGATCGTGTTGCAGGTGTGCAACCCCCCAGTTACTTGTCCTCTCCATCTGCAAAGAAGAAGAAACAAGGATTGCCTGGCCACCTCCTTCCTGGAGGCCTGGGGGGGAGCCGGGAGCCCCGGCGGAGTTTCTGTGCAGGAGGGATGGAGACAGAGGGATGCAGCCTGTGGAGAGGAGACCCCTGAGCCCACTCACCTCTCTGCTCCTCTGAGTCACTGTCTGCCTCCTCCGAGGAACCTGCTGGGGGTTGCAAGAAAGTCCCGCATCAGCTTACACCAACAACCACGTTAGCTGTGGTCCTCCTTCTGTCCCAGTGCTGTCACCCCCAGATTATGCCAGTGGTTGTGTGGTAAGGGAGATCCGCCCACCCCCCCCAACCATGCACAGCCCAGGGCACAGACAACCCACACGTGTGCACCCCAAAACCCATCTCTCATCTGCCCAGGGCTTTTGCTGCCTTAACCACAATGTGGCCAGGACGTTCCCCCTAGCCCTGGGCACCAAGATGGCATTGCCCTGGCACACACAGGCTGCAAACTCACCCGTGCCGGGTGACTGGTATCCATCACAGCTGATCTTTGGTCTCTTCTCGCTGTAGCGGGCGCAGACATGGGTGCTGCCCGCCTGGTTACAGCACCAGTCATACAACTTCAGCTCCTGGTCTGGAGGCAAAAAGGAGAGTAAGGGGCTGAAGGGAAGAGGAGAGGAAGATGGGCTGGCTCCAGGCAGGCAGGGTGCTTGCCTTGGCTTTTGGCAGGTCCACGCTCCCTCCAAGGGCAACAGCGTGTCAGGAAACAGGTTGGCACGGAGATTAAAATGATTTACAGGCTACAGTGATGGCAGCCTCTTTTGGGGGATGCCAGGGCTGGCTGTGCTTACCACGGTAGGGTGACGCCTGCCTGGAGGACCTCCAGTACCTCTCCTGCCGACCCTCGATGAGCTGGCTCTGGCTGTTGTACAGGCAGCGGACACCGGCACCGTGCTTGTTGGGGGAGGCAGAGTGCAGCATGGAGACACGGGCAGCCCACCAGCCTGCAATGGGGCAGCAGTGAGCCTCGGCACAGCTCCCTGCCAGCCAGCATCCCTGTCCTGGTGCAGCTGTTCCCAGCCAGCATCCCTGCCCCAGGGCAATGAGTGGAGCTGGGGTTGGCTCCTTGTTATCCATCACTCCCACCACATCCCCCATGGTGCTACAGGGTCTTTGGAGAGACTGATGGAGACCATCCAAGTAGTCCCTCAAGGTGAGACCCTGGTGCTGGGGAGGGTCCATCACCGCTGTCCCCATGCACCTTATACCAGTTCCATCCAGTTTAACTAGACAGGGACTGGTCAGCCCTCACTCCTCCCCATTTTCCCTTCTCTTACAGGGAAGGGCAGCACACACACCCACACACACATACCATTTTCCTGCCCACCCTGCCAGGAGGGACCCCAGCCACCCTTGCAGGGAAGATGGGGAGGAACAGCTCAGGGACAAGTAGGGTGGGGAAGCAGCATGTCCACTTGCCTCCCCGGCTGCTTTTGAAGCGCGAGTCCTGCTGCCCTTGCTGCAGGGAGCAGGGGCAGGTGGGCAGGCCCTGGCTCCATGTCCGCGGCTCCTGCTGCCACCTCGTCCATGCCAGGCACTTCAGCCGGTAGTTGATGCGCACGCGGCTCTCCAGCTTGTAAATCGACAGCCCACGGAGGTCTGAGTGGGGAGAGAAACCATGAATTGTCACCTCCAGCCAAGGGGACCACAGGGGCAGTTTCGGCTGTAGGCGAGAGTGGAGTGATGCTGATGCTGGAAGCTAAACCCACGCTGACCTCCAGCTGTGGCACCCCAGGCTTAACAGCCACCCAACAGCAGGGAACCAGGGGGAGAGGCTCTTGCCAAAGAAGAAAGCCTTGGGACAGAGCCATTGCAACAGAAAGGATCCACGGACACAGCAAGGACATTTCAGCCTCAGGGCATAGCTGGTACTCAAGGGAAGCATTTTATGTGCTTGGGGTGAAAGCCTGGCCTTGGTGGACTCAGTGAGAGCCTTGCCACAGTGGCAGGGTGGACTTCATCCCCTGGGAACATCCCTCTCCCCATGCAGCCTTCCCCACACCCCCCGACCCCCCCCACCCCCATATCTGGGCCC